GATCAATCTGGTCCGGGCTACACTTGCGATTCTTCCTTCGTTGTTCTGCAAGTGAAGTCACCTCCAAATTGGGACAGTAAGTTACAGGTTTTTATTGAGTGAGCTGCCGTCAGTGGGCTCCTCCTACTCAATTTGCCACTACTCCCAAATTTGGGCTCAGATCTTACTCAACAGAAATTACCTTTGTTGAGCATTTTAAATTAGTCTTGGGGAGACTTCTTCCATATCACTGTAAATACCTTTTTTTTTTACCAGTCTGGTTAAAAGGCCCTAGGCTTTGATGTCTCGGAACTCAGGATATTTGCTTTCTTTGTAAAAGACTTCTAAAGATACAATTTAAATTAAGGCTTTAAGTGAAGTCAGGACATTTTTCACGTAGTCCCAAAACAATGAACTAGATAAGGAGATAAATCCTATCTTCTTCCTGAAACTGGCTAATGGGCAACCTTTACAAACATTCAAACTATTTCATTCAATATGACAGTTTCCACCTTTAAATTATCTATTTCCTTGTAACACATTCTTTCCAGAATATACAAACTACTTCCCAGGTTAGGTATTTCTATGTTAGGCATGCTGAAATCCATTTATAGCCATTAGGATTAATTTTGCAAAAAGTTGAGTCAATATCTATGTATTATCACACCCAATGGATGAAGCACACATCAAAGTACAGTTCAATTAAATAAAGAAATGTTAAAATCAGACATTAAAGGTCAATACTCGGTGTCTCCATTTAATATGTTCTGCATTATTGAGTTTGTACTATTTTCTCCATGTGACTATATGTATTTTTATATGACCTGTTGTGTTGTTATTCTTTATGGACTGAGCTCCAGTTCCTAGGTTCCCAGTCAATGGCCCTGCATTCATTTTTGGGAAACTAGAGAAGACTGAACAAACCAGACTCAATGTGTAGGAATAGACACATTTCCTTGAAGGAATTTAATAGAACCTTCCTCTAAGGGGTTAAAAGAAATGCCCACACATTTCTGCACTAGAAGACTGAAAAGGAAAGGCAGACAAATAACTTCTCTTTCATCAGCTAGCAAAGAGTGGAAGGGATAACATACTCTCATGTAAACTATTCATTTTCATGTTGGAGGTCCATTAATGTTGTGATGCTTTCCCCTTCTACAGATATTTTAGTTTCTGCCCTTTCCATCTACCCAACAATGCGTCTTGATTATAGAGAGAATGTGCTTCATGTTTCCACAAAGAAAGAATGAAAGGACCAGTGCAATTGCTGTAGTCAGTCTTCCCCTGAACACAAAAACAGCACAAGTCAAGCAGAGAGGCTACTTATTGCCTTTCTAGTTTCAGTGCATGTCTTTTATACCTAGGTAAAATCAGGGTTCAAATTAAGGGGGAGCTCAGGGGGGTTAAGCCCCCCCATAAGAGGCAAGAGCCCCAGTAAGAGTTGAAAATCATACCTGGGGGGGTCTCCGATCTGATTGCTCTGCATTTAAGTGGACTTGTTAATTAGTGAATTGATTTAATTTTTTTGCAAACCCCACCTCCCCACCCAAGAGTCAAAGTGTAATTCAAACCCTGGTTAAAATGGTTCAATTCTCCAGTTTTGTAGTTCTTTCCCCTCTTCTATCTCGATTCACACATACTTAATGTTGCGTTTACCTGATGCTGTACATCTAGGACTACTAGAAATGGTAAATCCGTTTTTCCATTCTTCAAAAAGCTTGCCTTTCCAAGCATTGGCAATGTGTAGGGGGTGCATGCATGTGCACCCCCTGAGATCAGCCATGCACACCCTGGAAGTGCCAGCTGCGAAACCAGAAGTGCACATCTGGTTTCGCTGCTGGCTCAGGAATTGGCCACTGGGAGACTCCCCCCGCCTTGGTGATTTGGTGCCCCCCAGACTCAGGAGGCACCAGTTGTCCATGCTTCAAAATGCCTGTGTAGTATTTGAAGACTGCTACCATGTCTCCTCTTAAGCACCTCTTCTGCAAGCTGAACATGCCTAGCTCTTTCAGCCTCTCCTTGTAGGACTTGCTTTCCAAGCCCTTGATCATTTTTGTTGCCTGCTTCTGGACCCCCTCCAACTTCTCTGCGTCCTTTTTAAAATGTGGAGCCCATAACTGCACACAGTACTACAGATGACCTAGCCCAGTTAATATGCTGCTACCAATCAGATAGAAAATGTGTTCAAGAAAACAAGCAGCTGTTTTTAAACTTGAGAAAATGTATATTTTCCTCTTTTGAACCTGCTAAATGTTTTGCATCAAAATTTAAACTATGTGGGTGTTATGACTCAATTTTTATATTTGTACTGGTTATTGTGACTACCCAGCACACATACTTTCCATAACTTATTTGTGTTGTGAGTTATTTAGTCTATGAACAGAAAGTGGGGTTTTTTTAGCATTGGAAACGACTTTGTCAGCAATTACGTTTCAACCAAAGCTTTGAGAGCACCCTTGTTGCAAGGCTATCACGTCAGCATGTAAGACAGCCTGACATGTTAATTTGTGAAGCGTACAAGACTTATGAAACTTTTTTTTATTGATTTCTGGTTTAACTGAAATTTGGGGTATTCTGTGCCTCTGAAAATCAGTTCCAAAGCTTGATGGCAGGACCCTTAAAAATTAGGTGACCAAAGTCACTGCCCCTATAGATAATGCTGACTATAATCTTTGCTTTGGTCAACCAGTCAGTAAAATAAAAATACTAATTTATATTTGCATATTAATAATTCTTTTTGCAACAGCTTTTTGTGGTTGTTGTTAAATACCACCAGTTTGAAGTTCCAACACAGTAGCTCTATTTGTCAAATCTGGCAAGATGGGCAGTAACTCTAAGTCAACAGGTTTCCACAGGACCTAGCATCCATCCTGTCTTTGGGGTGTATACTCCACAGCTACAAACAGATGTCACATTTGTTCCAGGAGAGTCCAACGTACCCTGGGGACAAATTGCGACCATTCAGACATCCATTTCCATTGTCCTGAAACAACCTCCTCCCACCCCCAAATAAAAAAAAAAGGCTTGCAGGATAAGTTCTGCTAACAGCCTGTCCCAGGACATTGAGTAAACTGTGCAATGTCAGAAGAGTAGCAGTACATTCAACTGCTCACTAAACCTGGATTGAAAGGGTACCTTTCTGGTCTAGAACAAATGGGGGTACAATTGCCTCAGAGCAAACATGTCTGTTCCAAATCTAATAGTGTGTGTGTGCGCGCGTGCATATATCTGTGTATATATCTTTTTTGTATATCTGTTGTGCACATGTCTCTGTATATTTTTATCGGTGTATCGGGGGGGTGTATGCATCTGTGTGTATTTATGTAGGTCTGTATGTATATCTATCTATATTTGTATGTGTGCATCTGTATGTATATATGTGAATATCTGTGTGGGTATCTATACGTGTGTGTTTCTGTATGTATATGTCTCTGTACATATATATATGTCTGTGCATCTCTATGAATAAGGTGTTTCATATATATATGAGATACATAGAGATGCACAGAGACTTATATGTGTGTGGGGGGGTGCGTGCGCCTTTTTATATACATGTGTATCTATATGTGTGTGCGTGTGCCTGTATATCTGTGCGTGTGTGCGTACGTGACCCCGTCTGCACATGGTGTCACACACACACACGTCGGCGTCTTGGAGGAACGAGGTTTTTGACGAATGGCGGAGGGGCGCTACCATTTCTAGTAGTACTAGATGTACAGCCTCAGGGAAACGCGACAGTAAGTATGTGTGACTCGAGATAAAAGCAGGGAAGGAGCCGCACAACTCTCCGTTAGTCCTGAATGGCATTCAGTTTGGACATATATACACAAACCCCGGCGTGTGTGCCACAGTGTGTGCGGACGGGGGGGAGGGGTCCCCCGGCCCGGCCCGGCCCATTGGCCTCCCCCCGGCGGAGCGCGGCCTGTGGGGCCCCGCCCC